GGGGGGGGGTTGGAGATCCTGCAATGGAGTTATTTCGATGCCTTTGCACACAGCCGCTGATGCGTCCGTCGTCCATTCTCCACCGAACAACGGTCCCTACAATCTCGAGGGGCACCAAGATGTTCGACCTAGAAGCAAACAGATGGGTTCGATCGAGGTCTGGATTCTGAACGATACTACAAGTGCGGGGTTGCGAGGGGTCAACAAAGAGTAACACAGGAAACAAATGTCACCCAAAAGCGGTCACACCAATAGTGTTGTCAGTAACCCGTGGCCCAAACCTCTAGGGAGAAGAACATCTCTTACACAGTGTGCCTTCACCGCTTCTACCTCTCGTCGCTCCCGGTGTCAAGTCAGGGCATCACGCAACGCTCGAGCCAACGTCACCACCTCCACAACTACGGCTGTCAGCCACCAAGCAATTCACTCTTCGGTGCCGTGCTGTTCGTCGCGACCAGTTTGCCATCCAAACTAGTGCACACACCTCCGGATCGAAAACGGTGAGGTCTTTGCGCCGTCCCCCACCCAACAACTATTGCTGTTGCTGCCATGACAACCACAACCAAAAAAGAGAGGGTCTCTGAGTGAAAAACGATAGCACGCTTGCCCAATCGCGATGAAACGCATAACCGCTGTGCGGAGAACAACTGCACCACCACCCGCTCAAGGAACCGGGTTGTTCGTACGGGAAATTAACCACACCAACGCGAAAATCGCTCCACCTCCCCATATCACAACCACCAACATAAAACAAGAGCTGGGGCTCCGACCAATGTACAGAAATGACGCTCACCTTGCAACAATTGAAGCTAGCCCTTCGTCCCTTCTGGTCATGGTGCCGATGCCCACGAACATGGCATCCCACATCGTCGCTCGCTTGGCGAACTGCTTCCCCCCGGACACCTGGCGTTGCGCAAGTATCGAGGTGGGAAGGGGGCAGAGACGGACGGGGAAGGGGGGAGGTTTCTGACTGTTGCTTGCCTCAAGGCCAATAGATGGGCCTAGGAGAACGGAGAAACGTTCCTAGAACCACGGAAAAAAAATCGTATGAATTGGTAGACACGCCTGTGAGCGGGGTGTGGGTGAGCGTGCGTATTTCCCTTTCATTTTGTTGACCATTGAAGGGGCGTTCGCCCGAGTTCTGCTTCATCTGCCCGTTGCACAGTGATGCGACCAGTTGGAGGTGGAGGGACCACCTACCTCCTTCCTAATGGAGAAACGGCCGACCCGGGCGTTCTTCGGAAAACTATCGTTAAACTTAACGTGCAGCATGATGCTAATTATGGCCTTGATCCAACCGGCGGAATTACTATGACAATATATCAACATAGACTCGACTTTCAATTTGAAACAGCGGCTACTAAATAGCTTCGGAAATGTTCATTGCTGCGACACTCTAGAGGGTATCGACCACTGCAGCTCGTGAACAAAAACCGATTCGATCCTGTAGCCCGGAGGATAACCACATGCCCGGATCAGCGTCACACAAAACAGCCAGACAGAGAGCGGCGGCGAATGCATACCTTCCGCCAGAAAAGATCTCGGGTTTCTTCGACGCCATCCTCGGAGAAAATCCCGAGCTCGGACTTCGCCTGTATTCGTGTCCAGTTACAACACCACAGCAGAGAATGGCAGGGGCATGTAATGTTTCCGCGTTTTCTACTTCAGTGCATCCGCTGTCCGTGAAGACGGTTAACCACCACCACACCACCACACCCACCACCGTCGCCACGATAACCAGGAAAAACGTCAGTGGGACCAGCCGTACCAACACCATCGTTTTCATCATCATCATCAGCAGCAGCGATAACACATCGTTTTCATCGTCACCAGACCCATCATCATCAACGGTAAACGGCAAACAACAGCTAAATCAGCAGCGACAACAGCAGTATCATCAGTGGCGTCGACGACGACGAAAGCAGCACCAATGTCTTCGGTGTCAACAGCTTGTAGCGCCAGCTGTACCAATACGCCGCTCCCACTTCTCACATCAGCCTCCCCCTTCAGGTAGGCCTTGTTGAGGTCGAGGTAAGTCTTCTGACGCCGCTCGAACTCCTTTCTGTTGGCAGTGCATTGCTCGTTACACGTCCAGAACATCCCCTTCGACCTGGTGGCACCATCAAGCCCCGACCGCGTCGCCTCCAAGCGTCAGAACACGATTAATATTCTCGTTGTTGCGAGCGTTACCGCAAAGGCCTCGGCCTCCTTCTCTCCAAGACAAGAGTCAACACACATTTCACACTCGTTACTGCGAGCACATTCGCAACGCCTCGGCCTCATTCCCTCCACGCCAAGCGTCATCACACATTACATGCGCTGTTGCGAGCGCTATCGCGAAGCCTCGGCTTTACTCCCTCCACGCGGATGATGCATGCACTTTCTTTCGACCTACGGTTGTGGCGGGCAAGAAATCATCGGAAAGGACGGCACCGTCGCCGTGTACGTAGCCTTCTCTAACTCCTACCCGGCGTGGAACAGGGGCGCGTATTCTTTGAAATAGCCCTCACCTCCTGTAGATATCGTCCCAGTACACCATCTCCCCGTGTGCTCGCATCACTGATTCATCGTCCAGGCCAATCATCTTGTTCTGGTGAGAAAAACATGAAAAATAAACGAGAGGAACTGGAATTATATCAAAAAAATATACGTATGCACACAACGTGTACAGGTGATATGTTCGCGAGGCCGTTTGAGATGTCAAGCTCGAAACGAGCTCGTTCAGAAAGGGCGAGTAACCCGGGTCGGCATATTGCTCTGACGCGTTCAAAAATGAACGGCAAGATGGTGTGTGTGGGACGCAACGACGTGCATAAACAGCTGCCCCAACGGGACCGTGGAATTGACAAAAGGCAACCGGCAACCTTTTGTAGTTGCAGAAGAAATACCCCCCTCCTCCCTCCCGTTGTTGACCGATCGTCGCGAGACAAACATCCTTGGAGTGTGTACTTGCGCCTTGCCTTAGGCAAAAAGCCCAAACTTCAACTTCAAGGACTCTGTTTCCGCCAAGTATTTTGTCTCGGATTGCGCTCCAGCTTTCACCAACCGCGGAGGAGTTGGCGGCCGTCCAACATGTTCACGTAATCGAAACACCATGCCAAGGCCACTGCTGTCCAGATGGCCGCTGCATGCTGACGACACGTGTCTTGCGGACAAATTCGCGTTCTCGCGTTCCATGACACTTTTTTGCGCGCCTCCCGGCGAATATTTCGCAACGGTGCTCTCCAGAATGTCAGCGCTTCTTGTCCCCTACGATATCCTGACCCGTGTGCTCCATATCCCGTACGCGTACAACGGAGAGGTTGATAAAGATACTGCAGCAAATGGTTCACTTGTATGGTACGGTATAAGTTTCCATGGGGTGAGGTGTTGTCCGTGGATACCCGGTGTTACTGCGAAGCAAGTGAAGGGGTTTACCCGGGGTGTATGTGATGAGATATGAGGTAACCCAAGTTTCTCCCTGGCGCGTTCACTTTCCTTCATACCCTAGTCGCGAAACACCAAATCGGCAAGGTACCCCCAGTGCAGACTGGCAGACCTTCCGAGCACAGCCACAGCAGGCACAGCAACAGCACTGATGCCTCGAAGAAAGCAGATGCTTGGTAATCGTACAAATGTAGAAACTCGGCCATCGAAGGAAATTCCGCCCTTAATTCTTGCAAACATCGCAAGGATTATTCCAAGTGCTAGTCTCCGCTTTGCCTGCTGAGTTTGTGCGGCATTGCGTTCTTGACGCCGTGCACTCGAACACAGCAGTCCTCGCGACCTCGCTGCCTGCTGCTGTTCAGATCAGCTCGTCACAACTTCATCAAGCAAATCCTGATATACTCTCTAACCCCGCGTGAGACTCAGTCTCATTTTATGAGGGTCTGAACTTAAGTCCAAGGGCCTCCCGTGTTAGTGTCCATACCTCGTAGTTCTGCACGGCCGTTGTAGACGGGGTGTAGCCACAAGCGAGGGTCGACACCAGCAGACCCACAACCCACGAAGCGCTGATGACAGGGTGCCTCTTCACAAACTGCTTGGCGTTTGAGACGACGAGTGCCCCGAACTGGTCCGCGCCGCCCACGACAATGGACGTCTGAGGCATCTGCTGCCGGTGCCGCGACATATCCCTTGTTTTCTCGCTTGATATGGCCTGTAACGCTACTGCTTCTCGATCTAACTAACCTCGCCTACGACTTGCCTCTTTCGGAGATGTTGGAGTTCAGTATCGCAATAACGCGGGCGTTATGTTGCGGTACATCTACGACATCTCCTATCTTCCATCTCCCATGTGAGACCAGCGTTGTATTCCTATCCTGCTGGGTAGTTTGTGCTGTTGCCCTCTGCGGTGGCTCCCCCCCGCCGCCCCCACCCTCCCCTCCACCGAAGACGAAAGTCCTCGTGCACAGTTGCTGTGATCGGCAGAGGTATCCGTGGGGTGCTCGATGAAAACGGAGAACATGGTGGCGACAAAACGAGCGGGCACGTCAACTTCAACTCTCCTTTTGGCGGCAACGGCAGCGTTCTCTATTCTCCCGCAGGAGACAAGAGCTTACAGCGGTACCGTTCCCATATTCCCTGACATCGCCGCGGGGAAGAGCAAAGCGGCGGCGGTGGCCTACGAGGCTCAGTGCAGAAAAAGGTGGGGCAATACATGCCGTCGTCGTACTTGCAGTTCGCAAAGTTGGGACGTGAATTTTTTCTGTAGATTTGCATCGCCGAAAAGAATACGGCTGCGTCCACACACATGCGTATGGATCACTGATCTATGCTTGGATGACCCTACCACCGCTGCTACCGCCCGCTCCTTCCGTTCCTGCAGGCCAACAGTATTTTCTCCCAAAGCAGTGATACGGGCTACTGACCTAACGAAGGTGGGTGCGTGTTTCAGTGGTCTGGAAGAAAGAGGGCTCCTGTATGTGGATCTGACGGTGTTTTGTTTTGCGACCCTCCGTTTTTGTTTTTTCGCCACTCCCCCCGGACCCTCCTTCAGTACGTCTCAGACACATTCCCCCATTGCTGCTCTCCGACAGAGGTCGAGTCGCGGGGGTAGTTCTGAAGGTGTGACGGCATACGGAGCACAGCTTGCCAGACCGAAAAAGAGCCAGTGTGTTATGTGGACGAACCACGAGACCCGGCGGAAGTTTCTGTGATGTTATCTAGGAAGTACATACATACCAGAGTTTACCATCGTGTACCGGCCACAGCAGTAGGAGACGGTTGTCTACAGGTTCGCCTTGTGGCTCGTGTTTCAATGTGTATGTGGTGTGGAGGATACACCGTGTTCACCTATCGTGAGAGAGGGAGAACGGATGTGTGTACGGAAAAGGCTGTTTGTCAGGGAGAGCGGGGGCAGCTGGCCCGCGGAGCTTGTCGCAGGTTCAGCGTCATCACTTCTGACTCTAAGGTACTGTACAAGTAGATCTTGCGGCAGATCATTTGCAGCACATCTCAAGCTGAGGTGACTTTCACAAGATCGAGAAGGTCGTCGCCTAGCGGAACGGGCTCTAATCGGGCCAACGATAACCGAATGAAATAGTGCTTCAAGTCGCTCGAAAATCATTCAGGGGTTCTATCACATCGTCAGTGTATTGTACTGCTGTCGCCAGAGTCTTTTAAGCCGCGGAACCTGGCGACAAGATTTGCCATCCTCTCGTTCGTGACCTGGGTTATTGCCTACAATCACCAAGGCCATGACCAAAAACTCGACGAACAACGTCTCGTTCTTCGACTGTTTGATGGTGGCCTGGGCGGTTATGGGCCACAACCCCCGTCAACAACGAGAGGTTGTCCACACTTAGCGCCAGACAACTCTGTGCGACGCAACGCAGTTTTCTACACGCCAACTAGTATGAGACGGGTGTCTCCACGTTCGCGTAGCGGCTCAAGTTATGGAATGTGTGGTGTGGAGAACTCACCATGTCCAACCGATCGTGAGAGGTGGAGAACGGATATACTCTAGAGATTGGTTGAGGAGAGATCGAGCGAGCAGCTGGCCCGCGGTATTTGTTGCTTGTGTAACGCGGGTTCAGCGTGTCCACTGACTATTTTGGAATTATCCCCCGAAGGTACATCTCCGAAAGGTCATCTGACGTCCGCAATCTACGAGATAATCTCAGGTGACAGTCACAAGACCGGGGATTGATAAAGCCTGGCCTTGCTCCCCCGACGTACCGGGCTTTAACACAGCTAGATGACAAAGCGATTGGTGCCGTTTTAGTTCACTCAATAAATTCTCGATCACATGCTCTGTACGGCTGTTGTCCCAGAGCAAGCCGCAAAACTCATGTTGGATTTAGCGACAGCAGTACAGTCAGTGCCGGTCGCCCCGGTGGTCTAGTGGGTAACCTCGCAGCCTGCTAAGGGCCAGGTCATGGGTTCGAGTCCCGGCAGAGTGAGTGTTTTTTCTCACTAAAAAAATCCTGGTCTAGGATGAAAGCGACGCGTTGCAAAGCTCGTTGTTAGTAAACCATAATCGACTTCGTGAGTCGCGAGGGAATGGATTGCTGTACCCTTCTCGCGATAAAAATACGTCAGGCAGGAACCGCAGGAAGGGGTCCAGCCCCCCCCTCCTATGTGTCCCCGGTTGGGTCGTCTAGCTAGTAGAAGTGGAGGATAGGGACCAGAGGGGCAGACGACAGAATCCAATGATGGGAGAGATTCAGTCTGCGAAAAAAACTGGAATCCTCTCGTTTGCGACCGGGTTTGTGGCCCATATCCGCCCAGGCCACCAATCAAAGAATCCAAGAAACCCGCACTGCCGTTGACACCATCTAGGACGATTGTCTGCAGGATCGCGTTACGGGTGTCTTAAGGGTTGTATGGTGTGGAACCTCCAGGTTCAACCGATCGTGAGAGACACAACACGGATGAAGGATAAAGTGTTGGTGTGAGAGAGAGGGTGGCTGGCTGGCCCGCTGTATTTTGCTTGTGTACGCGGGTTCAGCGTGTCCACTGGCTCTATACTGTGGCAACACCCCAAAGGCAGATCTCCGACAGGCCATCTGCAGTCGCAATCTACGAGACAATCTTGAGGTGACACTCGCGCAAGACGTCATTGTAATATATCGAAGTAGAGCTGTTGCGTGCTGTGTACCGGGTAGCCCACCTGCACCTTCCCCCGCTTGACCGTCTCCTTTGTTTCACGCCCAGTGGCAACGTATTCGACATTTCAACTGCAAGTCATCTGCACCGGCACCAACCTGTGCGGGTAGCCCCATCCCTGTAGGTGCTGCTGTAGACTAACTGCAAGAACACGGTGTTCGTTTTTTCGCAGCTGCTGTGCTTCCCACACGGTAGAGCACACCATACCCGAGCGCCGTGGCTGCGATCGTTCATGATATGCGCGGGTGCTTTCGCATGCCTCTGAAAGCACGTCTCTCCGCCCTTGCCCGCCTTGTGATTCGGATCGCGATCACGGCAGGTTTTCGACACTCATCACATTTTTTTTAAGGACGAGCACGTGACAGCGCTAGATGGAGTTACCGCTGATATCCACGGGCCGGGATCGGTGGCCTTGGTGAGTACACCACTGCTGCAGTACAAGCGCGTCCCCGCAGTATTTGGTCGAGTATAGAGGCTCAAGATTTCACGAGGACTACGAAACTTGGATCTAGAACCACGGCTCCGCCGAGAGTCCTGCACTGAGATTCGGGTCAATGTCCAAAAAAACTGTACTTGACGGTGTTGGCGATTATAAGAGAAGCGTTGAGCCGACACGGCGTTCTTCATCCCCGGGCCCCGACCGTGTCGCATGTGCCTTGTCGGAAAAACGTCACTCACAACCGCGAAAATGTTGCAGTAATTTTGGACTTATTCCAAGCTCTCTGGGTCGGTCCATGATGAGGGCGAGCCTTGTGAGCTACCTGTCGTCCTCATATGCCTGCGTAGATGCATAGACATGTTTTGACGCCAGTCTGTTTTTTTGTTTTTCATGAGACGCTCTTCCTTGCCCAGGAGAGGACATGAAAAATGGCGGAGGCCTTCTTCTACCAAAACATGCGATTTCTAAGGCTGGACGGCACTGCTGCTTCGTTTCTTCCGCCACCATTTTCGATTTCCAAGCGCAGTCCAGACCGCTGCCACCGCCACCGCTACTGTTGATTTTCCATTGGTGGAACATTCTGTTCTGCGTTACTCTAGGGTCCTCACGAATACCATACCCCTAACCTTTTACAACCCTCGCTGGGACCTACAGCTACTGAAACGCCGCTGTGACATTGCATTCACAATACCGCTCTGTACTTCATTTGTTCAGCCATGTGACCCGGCTTCTGTTTCTGACTTGTGTGTCTGGACGTCTGTCGGCGGATGTTCAGGTGGGGCCTTGGAACTCTGGGAAGTCAACCTTCCTCAAATGCCTCGCCGGTCTCGAAGCCCCGACGTCCGGTGACATCACGGTGAGCCGCAGCACAAAGAAGATCGAATGAATCCACACAACCCAAGCACCTAAGTGCTGTATCGATTTACCCGCACATTCGTTCAGATCATAGCTCAGCCGACAAGAAGAAACGGCATGTTTGTATTTTGAAACTGTAATGTGGCTCGTAGAGTTGGTTTGTCAGTCTCCCGGAACTCTTGTAATACGCATTGCAATGTCCGGTCGCCGCGGTGGCCTAGTGCGTTAGCTCATGAGCCTGACAACCTAGCAGATTTTTGTGAATTCCATTCTCTGACGGGAGTGAACAACTTTGCAATGCCGCAAGACCGAAGGCACACAGCAGTACCCCAAAACACTGGTATGATCTCCCGTGAGGAGAGGGGTCCGTCATATTATCCAGCAACAACGTCGTGTCATAGGACCTACACACGACCCCCCCCCCCCCCCC